AGAAGGAGGAGAGGAGAGAGAGGGAGAGAGAGAGGGGAGGAGAGGAGAGGAAGAGAGGAGAGAGAGGAGAGAGAGGAGAGAGAGGAAGAGAAAGGAGAGAGGAAGAGAGGAGGAGAGGGCGGAAAGGTAGAGGAGAGCGAGCGAAGAAAATATGAGCTGAGCTAGTGGAGAAGAGCAGAAACGCGAGAGAAGGATATGGGGAAAGGAAGAGAGAACAGGGGAAATGAAAGACCAAAAAACAATAAGAAATAATCGGCGAGATATCGGTCAGCATTACAGACATAGTTTCTCTCTATAACTAGGCTAGTTATGCTATTAGTGCGTGTACAGGAGCCGGGTGGCGCACTCAACGCGTGGTCTGCCCTGGAAGCCGACGAACGTAGGAGGAGGGCGGCTCGGCCACGAAGGTCTGCGTGGGGCGGTGAGGGGAGGGCGCGGTGGAGGCGGCGCCGGCGCGCCGCAGCCCCACGGCGCGCGCGTAGCCGTTCAGCCCGGGCTGGCCCCGTCGCCGGCCCCGTAGCTAGCGCGCTGCGCACTTTGGTAGTGGCCCGTCCTCGAGCGACACTTCCTGGTCCTTGCACCACCCTGCGGGCCAACAGCAGGCCGCTCGTCACATGGCGCCGGTTGGAGAGAACAAGGTGAATCATGGGCACAACAAAAAACAAACAACAACAAAAAATCGATTTAACCCTAAGAGGCGCGTCTCCTTAACCCAGACGACTCCGGTATTTGTGAATTCGAATACAGTGAACTCTCGGTTATAGTGAAACTTTAAATCACAAGGGTGTTTCATTTACATTACCTAAGTACAACAAGGTTCAATTACAGTGAACTCTGGACCTCGCTATAGTGAACCTAAGAAATATGTCTTTCATGGAGATTAGTTCCCTTCATAGAAAGGTAAAAAAGCTATCATTCGACTCGGGTAGCCCACACGTTTCATCCACAAGCCAGCTAGGAAATAAGGCAGTGGGTACAGATCATCCGTTGAGGAAGTCTCCTCTGAGTGGAGGTAGCGCTTGTGGCGTCGTTAACAACGAGGGCCAGAACGTCTAGGTTGGTGAAAAGTACGCTGCGGGGGGATGGAAGGTGTTAAGCTTGAACATCCGGAGTTTGCGCTCGGGCGGTTTGACTCAGTAGTGCCGCAGAGCCAAAAAATTACCGGAGGCCCTTGTAAACTCCGAGGATGCTGCCGGCGATGCTCGTTTACGGAAGCAGAGCAGGCAACCTGAGAATTCCTGTGGTGTGGGCGTAAACCAAAGGCTGCGCCTGCGAGCTCGGCCCAGTTGGCAGTCTACTCTTATGGAAACAGTGCGTGGGGTGTCAGCCTCACTTTTAACGCGGCGCATCTGCGCCCGCGTCGCATCATTCAGTTTGCGCATCGGGGTAGCTTGTAGCGTATGTAACAAGGAGGGTGTAGGAGTGAGGGCGAGATGTCCGGAGAGTAAGGGTCGAAATCTCATCGTGCTGTAGGCACACAGGTCGCCACGACCGGTATACTTTTGGCGTTCAAGGCCATGTGAGTAATTGTCAGCGGACAGAGGTCCGACGGGGCGCGCATCACGCGCTGGTTGTGTTTTTTGCCGGGTAAAGCAGTGTTCTGAAAGAAAAGTTGCCGGAGTGTTTTTAATATTAGCAATTTCATTGTTAACTTGTACATAAATCTTAGATATATTATTTTTCTTTTGTACTGAAATTTATTTCTTATTTCACTACGTCAATCAGAAACTCGGAACTTTTTTTTTCTAATTGGTGGCAGCGGTTTTTACGAAGCCCACGGGTAGTATAGTGTACCCAACCAAATTTTGTCTTAAATTGCGTGGGTCGCGGTCTTACGAAACCCACGGGGTAGTAAGTGTACTCACAAATTTGTCTTAATGGTGGCAGCGGTTTTTTACGAAGCTCACGGGTAGTAAGTGTACCCACCCAATGTTTGTCTAATTGGTGGCAGCGGTCTTTAAGAAACCGCACGGGGAAGTAAGTGTAACTCACCCAAATTTTGTCTTAATTGGTGGGCAGCGGGGTTTTTCGAAACCCACGGGGTAGTAAAGTGTACCCACAAATTTTTTCTTAATTGGTACGGGGTTACAAAAAAAAAATATTAAGTGTACCACCACAGTTTTTCTAAGTTGGTGGCA